ACCAGTATTTCAAAATTAGGATTGATGGGGTGGTGGATCTTCCTATCTACCAATTTGTGTCAAATTGTTGATCGCCAATCTAAAAAAAAAATTATTTTAAAAATTCAATTGGGAACCTAAAAAAATATGGGTGCGGTTTGTATAGAGCCGAGGCTCTAAACTATCAAAGTTATATGCATCTTCAAATAGTGTAGAGAAATATGGTTTCAATACTGAAAATTTTTGTGATAGCCTTAAAATATATTTTCATCTTTGGTTATAAAATTTAAAACTTCAAAAATAGTGCAGATCGAGCTAATCTGTGAAAACTTGAAAATCTTAGAAATTAACGGTAATAAAATGTATTATGAGATGTACTATTTCCAAAACTTGAAATCCAGTTTTTCTCATGCCATGCATCTTGATGTCGAGATGATCAATTTGATGATATTTGGGCATCAAAATAACCTCTTCTAGTGAAATTTTTAAGGTGGGCTCTGGTTTGATTGATTAAAGCATGTGCTCTATATGAACTTTCTCTAAAAAATATTACATAAATAAATAAATAAAAAGACAAAATATGAAATGTGATTTTAGAGACAAGGCAGGCACAAATACTTTCTCATAATTGGTTTGGTCCTGACTTTTTTCATAATTGGTTTGGTCCTGACTGATTCTCAATTCGAATCGGCAATTCCCAATTTGGATCATCGGGTTAAATTATTGATTTATATATAGTAATATTTTCGTGCATTTCACCTACATTTCTGTTTTTTTTTTTTTAACGTTAACTGAGATTCACTGAAAGAATAACATCTTACAAAAGGATGAAACAATGAAAGCAAAAAAGGACAGAAAGAAAGAGGGGAAGGAAAAGAATAAGGGGAGAGAAAGTTAAGGAGAAGCTAGTCTAGCGAAATTATGAGCATTACTATTATTCTCTCTATTCATGTGCATTTATGTTGCCTAAGCAGAAAATGGTTCATCTCGATTGTATGTTGGAAGCGTGAATGGTGAATATAGTGTTTTGCTAATAATGCAACATAAAGTGTAAATATGATAGCTTTATGAAAAGATAAATGATTATATGAGACCCTCTCCCACCCATGTGTGTAGGACTCCCAAACATTCATCATTAAAATTGGTACGGATCTATAGAAAAGTCAAGTCCCACACCCATGTGATAACTTTTCTAGAGATCCATGCAACCAACTTTAATAATGATCCTTTGGGGTCCTACATACATGGGTGGGGGAGGGTCATACAGGATCATTACTCTTATTAAAAGTAGGGAAACTTGAGGGGAAAAAAAATCCTCATTTCATTATTAGAATTTAAATATAGGTCCTTATATTATGTATTTTACACTTAGTCCTAGTCATGAAAGTTAGT